AAAAAAAGAACAAAAAACCCAGAAGCCATCTAAATGTCTACTAGTGGTAAATTATTATATGCTGACTTGATGGAATACTGTGAAATGAAAACCATGTGGTAAAACGGGGAAGTATTTGCTAAGAAATGTATGTAAACGCCACCACCATGAAACTGTACTCTATAATTATGCCTGTATAAAAAAAAATCAGAATTATATGGATCAAATTGGAAGATAACTTGGTAAAATGAAAATATCTTATGTTGAGATGGGAAGATGATGGGTATACTGAAAATTTTCATGTGCTGCTCGATAAAGCTGTAATTATAATACATTTAAAAGATCGAAGCAGTTACAGTTGGTTTTTGTTATAATTAATAAGGTATTCTTTGCCAGTCTCTAACTAGCAAGAATAAAAGACAGCTCTGTTTGTGCCATTTCAGGAGGATCAAAAGAGGGGAAGATTTTCCAGATAATAATAAAAGTTAACCTTCTGGCAGACTGAATATATTTTGAGCTGATAATGAAGTATTAAAATAACAATTTCCCATAAGCATCCTAGATATATGCAAAGTCCATAAGCTGTGTAGAAGGGGAGTGGGCTGGAATTTAGATGCTGTGAATGGGGTTTCCTGCCCGTTGTGGGTAAGAGGCCTGGGTGTCCTGTACAGCTCCTGACACGTCATCCGCTATGGTCAAGATGGAATCTACCAGATGCCCTTGCAGAAATACTCACTCCGGCTTTCGTTTCTTGCTAATTTACTGGGATAACTTTTGGTCGTTGGTACATATGGCTCTGGAGGTGGCAAATCGGAAATCGGATGGAAGTTGAATCTGTTTTCCCACTCATCTATGGAGAGACAAACAGGATCTTCAGTATAGACAGTCTGTTGGGAGGACATTATGTCTTCATGCAAAAAGCACAGGATGACAAATAGAACAGCAAAAACCACTTCAAATGCCTGGGCCTTTAAGAAAAGCTGGAAGGGCCTCACATGATATTGACTAGCACATCAAGGATATACCTTGGCCTGAAAATCAGTGCACAGACAGATCCGACTGATTGTAAACCTGGAGAGAATAGGACCCAGCCAGTCCCCCCACAGGAGCTGGAGGTCAAGGTCTGGGACCTCTTTCTTCCCACTATGGGGCTCACCAATAACTGGGACTGCTCAGACAACAATGGCAGAGGTAAGCTTCATGTCTCTTGGGCTTTGTCCCACACGACCTTAAGTACAATAGAACAAGCACTGACCGGCCCAGCACCATCCTCACACGTCCAGGAGTGATGAGATAGCCCAGAGGTGGCTACCTAATCATTTGTCTACTGCCCCTCCCTTTTCCTAAGCATGATGTCCAGCTCCTGGGTCTGGTCTCTCCTGACAATCTGTCCAAAGTACATGAGAAGAAGTCTCATCATCCTTGCCTCTAAGGAGCATTCTGGTTGTACTTCTACCAAGACAGAGCTGTTCGCTGACAGTCTATGGTGCTTTCAATATTCTTTATCAATACCATAGTTCAATGGTAGGAATTTCCCTTTGGTCTGCCTTCTTCAATGTCCAACTTTCACGTGCATAGAGGTGATTGAAAATACCAAGCCTTGGGTCAGGTACACCTTAGGCCTCAAAGTAACATCCTTGCTTTTCAGCACTTGAAAGAGGTCTGGTGCTGAGATTGACCCAATGCAACGTGTTGTTTCAGCCCCCGACTGCTGCTTCCATGAACATTGATTGTGGATGTAAGCAAGACGCCTGTCAGCTGCAGCAAACCATTCAAAAGTGGGAATAATAAGGAGGTAAGCTACAACAATTGCTCTCTTCCGTGTTCCGGGACCTCTGCTAACAAAAATGAGACTGAAACAAGGAACAGGCTGGAGCAAAGTGATCTGCCCTTTGGGGACATGTTGGGAGGGAGTACTCGCTTTCATCTGAAATCATGGCGGCCCCTAAATGGTCAGTTAGGCCAATGCAGTACAATCTGAGAACAATGAGGATAATACCAACCAAGAGATGTTAATGCAAACAAACAAACAAACAGATTCACCATCTGACTTGCTCTAGAGCTCAGACCTTTCCAAGAAGCAGGGACCCACCTTACCTTCATAGGATGAGTCCTGGAAGCCGTTTCTAATGGATGTAGATGGGGGCGGTGGGGGAGGTGCCCCAGCACCAGGTCTATCCGGTACAAGAGGGGGCCTGGACCCACTTCTGGGACTATCTAGTCCACTCCTGGACGGCAACTGAGGGGTGGCAGGCAGGGCCCGTGATGTGCTGCCATTTCTGTTTATTGGAGGAGGCGGAGGGAGAGGCCCTGGAGGCAAACAAAACAAGAGATTTCGTATGGTACCTTCTATCCTCTGTTACCATTGATCACAGTCAGCATCAATGTGCAATAATTGAATCTTATGGGATGGTATTGGATGGAATTTTGAGATACGGGGAGGACTTCTCTGGAGACTTAGTGCAGAAAGGAGCTGTTGTTAGGTGCTGGTGAGTTGGTTCTGGCTCACAGTGACCAGTGTCCAACAGAATAAGCCACTACCTGGTCCTGCCCCATCTTCACAGCTGTTGTATTTGAGTCAATTATTGCAGCCCCTGTGCCATTCCATCTCTCGAGTGTCTCCCCTTTTTTGCTGCCCTTCTACTTTACCAAGCACACTGTCCTTCTCCCAGGGACTGGTCCCTCCTGATAACACGTCCAAAGGACACGAGAGGAAGTGCTGTCATCTTGCTTCTGAAGAGCGTTCTGACGGAACTTCTTCCAAGTCAGACCTGTTTGTCCCCCGGGAGTCCATGGTATTTTCAGTAGTCTTTGCCAGCACCATAGTTCAAAGGCATGCATTCTTCAGTCTTTCTTATTTAGGCACGTGAGGTGACTGAAAATAGCATGACTTGATACAGGTGCAACATAGTCCTCCATGTGACCTTTTTGCTTATTAACACGCAAAGACTTTTTTTGGGAAGATTTGCCCCATGCAACATCTCATTTGATTCCTTGACTGCTGCTTCTGTGGGTATTTATTATGGATCCAAATGAAATCCTTGAAAACTCTGATCATTTCTCCATTTATGGCAATGTTGCTTAGTGGTCTAGCTGTGAACAGTTTTATTTTCTTTATATTGAGGTATAATGCATAGTAAAGTCTGAGAGCTTCGGCAGTAACTATTTCAAGTCCTTTTTGCTTTCAGTAATCAAAGTTGCTGCACATTGCAAGTGGTTAATGATTCTTCCTCCAATCCTGATGCTGTGTTTTTCTTCACAGAGTTCAGCGTCTGGGACCATGTGCTTGGCAAACAGTTGAATTAAGAGTGGTGAAAGCATATAACACTGGCCCACACCTTTCCTCATCATAAACCAGGCCGAAGCCCCTTGTTCTCTTGCAACAGGTGTCTTAGCCTATGAACACAATTATGTGCTCTAGAATTCCCATTCTTCACAATGTTATCTATAGTTTGCTACCATCCATACAGTCAGATGCTTAGGGAGAGTCGATAAAACACACTTTAACGCCTGTCTGGTATTCTCTGCTCTTAGGATCCATCTGACATCAGCAATGAGGCAGGTCCTCCATCTGTATCCTTTTCTAAGCCCAGCTTGAAGTTAAGGTAGTTCCTTGTCAGTGTACTTCAGCAACTGTTTCAGACTTATCTATAGCAAAACTTCACTGGCATGGGGTATTACTGACACTGCTCAATACTTTTCACCTTTTGTTGGATCACCTTTCTTTGGGACAGATCTTCAGCCCCTCCATTCAGTTAGGCAGGGAGCTGTCTTCCACACGTTTAAAGTGAGTGCACACGGATAGTTAAGTGTCTGCGTTGGCTTTAAATTATACTAAGGTTAGAGATGATAGAGTTCAGTTGTGAACAGGTGATCGAAGTGTTTATACTGAGGGTGGGGCTTTTCCTAAAACATTTTATAATTTTTTAAAATAGCCACCTAACTGGTTACTATGATATGAAGCTTATCTAAAATCATTTTGAAAAGAATGAGATAGTTATGGAATTATTTTAGGTCTTTGGTAGGGCTGTGTTCTTTAAGTGCATATTACTGGTAATTGCACAAGCACAGTTCTGTGATAGATAGGGCCCCTTTCAGGAAACCCAGCCTTAGTCATCCTGAGCGCAGAGTCCCTCTCAGTTAGTGCACTTAGGGCAGTAGATTGACACAGAGTAACCACTAGCTAAATGAGGTCCACAGCTATACATGGCAGTGTGGGACCCGGACCCTAAGACACCCAACTTCCTGCCTAGGAAAGGGTGCCAATCACCTTTCTCAGAGCAGTTTCTGAGCACAATGAGTCAAAAAGTAAATGAAAAGGACCGTCTCCTCATTTTAAAATGTAGTGCTATGATATAATTGATACGGGCCCTGATGGTGCGGTGAGTTACGTGATGGACCGCTGTGAGGTCGGTGGTTCAAAC